CGTCGTCCCGCCCCCCCCCCCCCTCCCCCCATGATCCGGAACAACTTCCGAGTGTCGAAATGTCCGAACTCGCTCAAAACTCACCCCGAAACTCATCCGAGGCCCCCGGGACCTCAACCAAATGTACCAACACATCCCATAACATCATTAAAATTTATTCGAGCCTTCGAATTACTCAAAACAACACCAAATCCATCTCGGGTTCAAACTTTTCCAAAACAAAATCTTCTATTTTCCAACTTTCGCCGAAATGCCTCAAATTACCCTATGGGCCTCCAAATCCAAATCCGAACACACACCCAAGTCCAAAATCACCATATGACGCTACTGACATCATCCAAAACTCATTCCGGAGCCGTTTACTCAAAAGTCAAATTCCGGTTAAATTCTCTCCACTTAAGCTTTCAGAACTATATTCCTTCTTTTCAATTCGACTCCGATTCATCCGGAAACTGAATCCAACCTTGCACACAAGTCGATATACATAATGTGAAGCTTCTCTTGATCTCAAACTGCCGAACCGGATGCAAATTGTTCAAAACGACCAGTTGGGTCGTTACAACTATATAGGTCATGCTAAACTAAGTATAACTATAGATAAACTAAGTTATGCATTTTCATTATAAACAATGTAAAACTAAAATAATTATCCAACACTTTCGTCATTCCTAGTATTGAATTGAATTTCTTTTATTAGCATTAGTATTGATTTGAACTTTGCTTGAGTTACTACATTTATGGGCTATAAGATTTATTTACCATTTAAGAATGTTAAGTCTAAACTTGAAATAATACGTTAAAAGATAAAGTGAATAAATTTTAGAAATATTTATAAATTACATTACAATAAATATTTATATGTATAAAATATTTTTAAAAATTATGTAAATGTACTATCGGGTTGGTTTGGTTTCGGCTTGACTTTTTTTAGTTAAAACCAAACCAAATCAATTATGGCCGGGTTTTATTTTCTAATACCAAACCACATGGGATTTTTTTTTTTCTGGTTTGACTCGGAATGTCGATTTTGTACGGTTTATTGGTTTTCTTTGTATACCCCTACTTCTAACTAAAAAATGCCGCGACTATTTCGAAGAAGAAGAAAAAAACAAAGAAAGAAATACAAGATTATACTGGAGACAGCCACCTTACAACTTAAAACCGAAAAAGGAACAATTTCGAATGATACAATAGTTCATACAAAGAGAAAATCTAAATAGAAACTAAGAAATAGTACAGTTTATTTTTACTCATTTCCTCTTGAAACTTACTCCTTATTCTCAGCATAAGATTGAACATTTGCCTCACCATTAGCTGCTGCAGCCTGAGAAGTGCTTCCATTATTATCATGATTTTGCATGTACCCATTACTCATGGGCGCATAAGCAAAATATCCATGGTGATGATGATGAGCCATTGCGAAATTATGTGGCACCGGATACGGTGCCATAGCAACGCTAGTTGAAGTCGCGGGATCAATCATGGCCCGCGACTTTATCAGCAAAGGTTCCCCTCTAAGGGAACCACGCTCACCACCATCATACTCACGATAACGATGCAAGTATATAGTCAGGGGTTCGATGTAGTCATCAAACCCGAGCTTGCTCATGGCCCAGAGGACATCCTCGGCCGTGATAGTCTTGCGTTGCTCGCGCTGGCAACGGTCATTGGCTTCCCCAGTGACGAAGCTAATGAACTCAGACACGCATTCTTGGATGGTTTCTTTCCCGTCGTCTGAGATCTTGGCGTGTGGAGGGAGGATTTTGCGCATGATTCGGATTACGTTTGCTATTGGCATGAAACGGTCTTGCTCGCGAACAGTGCATTCAGAGTCCTCTGTGACTACATTGTTGGTATTGTTGTTGTTGCTGTTGTTGGCTGTAGGAATGACTTGGTTGATTTGGGCTGATACATTCATGCCCATCTGATCAGTAACTATGCCACCTTGACCATAAAGTGAAACGTTTGAGAATCCTTGCATAAAACTATAAGCATTCAAGTGAAGTAAGAAATCTCAAAAATAATTCATCATTAACACGCATCAACTCGAACTAGTTGGGTCAATTAAATCAATAATCTTCTATAATATTCAGAGGCGGATCGAGCAAAGATTTCAACTTTATGGATTCTAGATTTTAGAACGATGATTTCAAATGCTAATAACTGAGTTCTAAGTTTAATATTTGTACATATCTAATGAAAAATTTAACACAAATACACTGTTTGAGCAGCAGCTATTGAACTTCTAGCTCCGCCCGTAGCTGAACTTCTAGCTCCGCCCTGATAATACTCCGATCCATATTAATAAGACTTATCATGTTCAGACTATTATTATGTTGGTCATCAATTTATCGCAATCCTTCTCTTTTATTCAGGTTTGAGAATTGCTACACTTTGCAAAGTGTTAAAAATCATCTATCTATCTATCTATATTATTATAAAAGCATGCATGAATAAAATATTGGATTACAAAAATAATCTTTTAATATTAAGCATAATAACTCATACTAGAAGGACTTAATCGAAATTCTAAACATTGGCCTTGTAATCATATTAGTTTTAGGACATAATACTAAACGTTAGGAATCCTACATGATTACCTTTAGCTGATTTATATTAAGATCTCATTCTCTTTAGACTTTACACATAATGCAAATCTCTTCTCTTTTCCCTTTTCTCTCGCGCTACAAAAAGAGTTGTTCAATGTAAACTTTTCCATTGGAGCCTAATTAGCTCCGGACCCTGAAACTACTTTCTTTTTCTGAAGTAAAGGCGAGGTACGTTTTAGCGGAAAATAATTTTCTGAGTAGTGATCAGCATACCAATTACAATCAATCCTGGATCATTTAAGCCTTGACATTGTGTACAAACACCGAGATGCATGTAAAAGAGTCTACTTTGACAGAAAAAATCTAAAGAACAAGGTAACTTCATCAACCATTAGTTTGTAATGCCATGAATGGGCGAAAAAGGCTAAACTAAAAAAGCATGAATAAAATGTTGGATTACAAAAATAATCTTTCAATATTAAGCATGCTAACTCACAATAAAAGAACATAATCGAAATTCTTGATATCAACCTTGTAATCCTATTAGTTTTAGGACATAATACTACACGTTAGGAATCCTACATGATTACCTTTACCAATCCTATTATTATAATTATTTTGAGCATATAGATATATAAAACTACATGTTAGCATGTAAACCTAATACCTGTACGAACATGTTAGATTTTCTATTAGTATAATTACTTTCTGGATATGGGCATGTTTTTAGCCATGTAATCCTATTATTTTTAGGATATACTTCTTAAAAAATTCCTATTACTAATTTAATATAAAAACGTATTATATTGTCCAAATCCATTTAGAAACAGGAGAGCCTATATTTATTATAAAAGCACGAATATAACATTGATAGACTAAAATAGCCCTAAAATATTAAATAAAAGCACTCATAGGGAAAGGACATAGCTGTAATAACTAAATTTTTTTAGACACAATAACTCTATGTTAAATTTTTTTAATATTTAAGATTTTAAAATTTATACTATCTTGTCTATTGAATTCTTATTAAAAATATGCAGGAAGGTTTAATAAAATCAATTTCATAAAAATCCTCCATATTGGTAATACTTTATCACTCTATAATATTCAATACCAAAAAAAAAAAGTAATGCTAAACGGACTGCATAAAGCGTTAAAATTGAGAAAAAAATCCCCATGAAATATATTAATTATATTATATTTAAACTAGTTTTCTACTCAAATAATATTTTTTTTATTATTAATTTTTCGTGCAATATAGAAAAATATACCCAATTATTAAAAAAACTAAAAAAAATTTAATTTATGTGTGAGAAAAGAAAGAAAAAAGTTGATAAAAGCCAATACCACTAATGATTCTGCAAACATAAAGATCTAAAAGTGGAATGTCAGATCGATCTTTTTACTCTTTAAAAAAAAATTGGTGGATAAATTTATGATTACGGTTAAATATTCAAACATGAGATGAACTAATATTAAGAATCTAAATCAACAGAAAATAAATTATATTTTGTGTTAAAATCAAATAATCAAATCTTTCAATTAATTATTTAGCTAGAGAATCTAATTAATTTTTTTTTAAATTCAAAATTATTTTTCAAGTTAAAAAGAATCTTATGGTACATAAATTTATTCCATAAAAAGAGTGTTAGAGATTTTAAAAATAGATCACAAAGTAAAAAAAATTAGTATAATATTAAGAAGGCCATACAAGTGTTTGAAGAAGCATAATCAAAGCTAAATCCTGGACAAGAATAAGCTTTCAAGACTATAGTATAAAAAGTCGACGCTGGTATAGCAGAATTATCATTTGAAGATGCCTCCGGCAGAATCGAAATAATATCCAAATGTTCATTACTTGCAAATGTCAGATCAAGAGTAGGGGTACTCATCGATTATCGATTTGTATATATGCTTATCGTTATCGTTTCAATAAGGTTTCGATTTTTTCGATTTCGATTTATCGATTTTGGGGACTTATCGATCCGGTTATCGATTACACCAACAGGAAAATTTGCGGGATTCCACGGAAAGTATATCGCTATAAACGCGCCTAACTAATATGGACAAAAAGAAGCTAAAATAAGACGAACACCATTTATAATATAAAATTGTGTCAACAAGCACATGCAACAAAACTAAAGTAAGGGATCAAATGTATGCCACGAACACTCCAACGGTATAAAAAAAATAAAACAAAACAAAACACATCATCACAGCTTATTCTGTTTTCCATTAATTTGAACTTCATTCCCTTGATCTTTAAATATGATCATTCCTTAAATGTGGTAGAGGAAATAATAGGGTAAGGGACTTAGGGTAAAGGAAAGGGTATAGATTAGGGAAAATAATATTGTATAGCCGCTTTCAAAATAGTAGCGGAATATATATATACATTCTGTATGTTATATTAATCTACACAAATAGGTAATTACTCATTTAACAAGTGTCTACAGTCTAGGGGTGTGCATTCGATTTATCGATTCGATTTTGACCCTTATCGATAATTACTTATCGATTATCGATTTGTACATATGCTTATCGTTATCGTTTCAATAAGGTTTCAATTTTTTCGATTTTGATTTCGATAACAAATAATCGATTCGATTTATCGATAAATCGATTCGAATGCACACCCCTAATCAAGAGGCATGATATTGTTAGCAATAAGAACAAGTGGTGTACCAGTAATAATTTTATTATGAGGTCGTACAACCCACTTTAGATTTGATACACCTCTTCAAATAATTAAAATAACCACCACTAGTATATCAAAGCAGAGATATAGTGCTAAATTTATAAGGAAACCAAAAGCGATAATATGGGATGAAGCGCTTTTGGCTAAGCGTCAAACAATTGAAACAATCACCCAGAGTTTTAGAGATATATTGGATATCGATGAACTGTTTGGTGGACAAGTAATAGTTTGGGAGGTGATTTCTGTCAAGTACAATCAGTTTTTTCCAAAATTGATCAAAGCAGAAACTGTAAAAGCTAGCTTGCAAAAATTATACTTGTGACGTCAAATGAAAAATATTCAAATGACAAGAAATATAAAAGTAAGAACAGATCCAACATTCAATGACTTCTTGCTTCGTGTCGGAAACGAAGAAGAGTATCCAGTAAAGATGATTTGGTTCTGATATAAAAAAAACACCGTGTATAAAGAAATGTTCAGTAATATACCATTACATTGGATACCTTTAAACTACAATACATAATTATCTACTTAATATGACTAAAATTGATCATTTGTGTCAGTTCTGTTGATGTCCTTTTATGAATTCACGTATTATGCTAATGTAACAATATTTCTCGGCATTTAGATGATTGTTATAGTATTATATATATAAAATTTCTCTCATTAATTAAATTTTATTATTCATTCATATAAATAAATATTTAAACCATCATTGACATTATTAACGTGCAACGCACGTTTATAGATACTAGTTTTTATAAACGAAAATAATGAGCATTATGTCAGGATGTTGTACGCTTATAAGTTATAAGTATATGTAGTTTCTACAATATAAGATTAAAATTTGAGATAATGTGAAGCATTTTTAGGTCACATTTAATTTGTTACATTGGTTTTGCATCTCTCTTTAAAGCTTTACCAACAAATTCAAGCATTAATTTGAAAGTCATATTCTAGTAAATTGAACCACGAACTCAAGCACAAACATTCACTTAACAACAAAGTCAAGCATTAATAAAATTGCATTAGAGGAAAGTTGACTATATAACGCTTCGAAAATTCTTGAAATTAATTTTCAGCTAAATCAATATACTGTACCATTTAATCAATTTTGTGTAATTCATTGGTCAATCTGTACAGTTGAAGTTCGTCCAATATTAATAAACAAAAAGACAGTCAAATGTAACCACCAAATTAGATTCATGCAATGAGGGGAGGCACAAAAAGACAGCAATTACTCACAACTGAGATGATAATCCTTGACAATTTCAGTTACTAAAACTACAAATTTTTAAAAGCCAGACGACAAGTCATAGTGTGAATGTAGACAAAACCAACAGAAAACGCTTCATTTTAGTGGTTTTCGTCATCTATTTTTGTCTTCTGCTCAATACTTCCTTCTCTACCATCATATATAGAAGTTAGCTTTCAAACTTTCTTTCTAATTTCTATGCACTTCGCAGTTAGATAAGTTCTTGGCTAATGATTAAATTGACCACCTATACTAATTTTCTGGATGATGTGATCAGAAAAAAAGGTCCAACTAGACTGAAGTGAAAATAACACATGCTAGTCAGTTTTCGGACGGGTAATTGATAGTCAATGTTTGTAAAGTCATTGAAAAATAACCATTATTTTGCTGCAACACGGAAAGTTCCAGCATAATAAACTGAAAATTGGTACACATGTGTATGAACTTCCAGCATATTATGTTGGAACACTAACACACAGAAAGTTCCAGCATAATATACTGGAGATTGGAGCACCTATGTATAAGCTTCCAGCATATTATGTTGGAACTCCAGTATATTATGCTGAATATTTTTCGGATTTTGAACAGTGATTTCGTTTAGATTTATCTTTACATGAAAAGTGACCAAATTTTGATTACTTTTGAAACTGTGCTATGCTTCAATTACCACTTATAAATCTAGTTATTTTTGAATTTCATCCCTAGACTGAATGAACTAAACAAAAGCCTTATTGCAAGCAGAAAACAGCTAGTTTTGGATAGCCAAACTAGCTATGTATTCCACTTTAATTGGTTTTTTGACCTTTTTTTTTTTTGGTTCATAATATTTGATTTTTTCAGATATTAAGAATGAATTAATTTTTTTTTCAAAATTGCACATTGGAATAAAGAGCCTAGGAATATTTGTTTTAGTTCCAATTAACAAATTAAAGTTAATATGCTTCATTGTTAATTAGTGTTAAAAAGTAGATTCCATAATATGTGTGAAAATAGTTAAAAAAATCAATTAAAGTAGAGCGGAGGAAGAAGTATACTCCCTTCGTTATGTTTTCTATAAAACTATTTATTTTCTAATTTATTTAAGAAAATTATATAAGAGTATCCTTCCTGATGGTGGAGTATTTTTTTTTTTTTCTTTTTTTCTCACGGCTAAGAGGAGCATGATAAGTAACACGTGTAAACATAGGGTGAGGCACTTGCATGCATTTCACTTGTTTTAAGTTAAAAGCTCAAGAAAAGCAGAAAAAAATTCATTCAACCATTTGCAAACCCACCATTGGAACTCTTAAATAGAATGCATTCATATCTTTTTCACAACGTTAATTTACTTAGAGTTACGAAATTACAAACTAAAGAAAGAATGAAACTAAATTTTTGGAGGTGACTGCACGATAGAATAACTCAAAACTTTTTAGGTAAAAATAGACTTAATTATTACTACGTTTTGCTCCTTCTTCATTTTTTTGTGTGTGCCAAGGAATAGATAGATTTGCATGAACATGGATACATAAATATAGTTCATAATAGATATATGTAGCTATATACCTCTACATGTTTCAAAAGTACTAGTTTTGTGTACAAGAAAATAAAAGGAATAAGATGCATTAGACTTGAAAGAAAACAAAGAAAACCCTTCAAAGTATGTGTTAAAAGATCTACTAAAAAAATATGATGAATATATAGACTTCGAATTCAATAAATCAAATACAATAAAACTTCTCTATTGCAACATTCCTATATAATAGTTCTTCATTATAAAAGTCAAATTTTTCTCGAAACCGATTTTTTATGTTATGTTATAATATATGTCTTCTATAACATTCTCTATGCCTTCATAAGGTAGGGATAAGGTTTGCGTACACATTACCCTTCCGAGACCATATTTGTGGAATTACACTGGTTTTATTATTGTTGTTGTTGTATAACATCTAAAAAATATCGGAGTAAATGCGACTGTTATAGATAAATTTGACTGTAAACTATAATAGAATTTCGAACTCGAACTCATAAAGCTTAAATTTTGAATCCGTCTTTGCGCGAGATCAAATGATAGAGCCCAAGCATTTCTTCATTTCTTATTTCTGTTAACTTAAAAATATGCGCTTTTTTACTTTTAGCTCGCGCGAAAAACTATTTATATTCGTTATTCGAAAAAGTGTATAAAATTTGTATAACTTTTGTATATAAAATACATAATAAATACAACAAATATATATTTTTCGGCTATTATTTTGAGAGCAGCTATCTATATATATATATATATGGGTTGAACGTACCAGAGGGAGTTGTTTGTGGGAACCTACGGTAGCCATGAAAGCCTCCACCATTAATGCCTCCAACATCCATCTCTATCTATCTTTTTTGTTTTTTGTTTCTTTATACAAGAAAAAAGAAAAGAGTATACTCTCTGTGTATATAGGAAATAGCAAGGGAAGTGAATGGTCAAGTAGCCATTTATATAGATACAAGAGTTGAAACAAAGCAAGATAAAATCCAAGACGCGTGGCAAATGGCGTAGTGAACGAGAAGAAAGCATACGCCGGTAAGAAATAAGGCAGAAATGTGAGCATTGACCGGCAGAGCATGCACTGAGAAAAATTATAAGCAGAGATTAATTTTGGCCATTTTCACTGGTCGATATATACTTTTTTCTTTCTCAATGCATGCTACGCTTTCTGAATTTATAAGTACTAGTTCCCATTCCAATTGAAATTCAATTAGTCCTCGATTCATGTGACCAAACTAAGTAGGCGTTTGGACATAGATTTGATTGGAGTTTTAAAAAAAAAAAAGAATTAAATTGTATTGAAAAATAATTTTGAAAAGTTAGTTGTGTTTGGACATATATATTATTTAAAAAATATTGAAGTGTGAAAGGAAAGTTTTCACCCCAAAATTGACCCAAATCAATTTTTGGAACTTGAATATTTTTCTTCAAAAATATTTCAAAAAGTGATCAAATTCCTTGAACAAATAGTATTTTTAATCTATTTTGAAAGAAAAAAAAAAAGAGCAGTCCGGTGCACTAACACTATGCGCAGGGCCCGGGGAAGAGCTGGAGCACAAAGGACTATTTTATGCAGCCTTACCCTGCATTTTTGCAAGAGGCTGTTTCTATAACTTGACCCATGACCTCCTGGTCACATGCCAATAACTTTACCAGTTATGTCAAGGCTCCCTTTCTTATTTTGGAAAAAAGTATACTCTTTATTTCCAAAATGGAGCTAAGTACTAAAATATAATAGGGGCAGCTCTAGGGGTGTTCGTCGGCCGGTATGGTACGGTATTTAGACATTTTGGTTCGGTATTTTCGGTATTCGGTTTCTTAAAATGCTATACTAATACCGTACCTAATTAAATTCGGTATGGTTCAATTTTTCTCTTTTCGGTTTCGGTTTATTCGGTTCGGTATTCGGTTTGAATACTAACAAGTGCATGCAATCATACACTATAATATTCTTAATTAAAGTACTCAAAAGTACAAAACAGAAAATATTTGTTGACAAAAGTTTTGTCCAAAACCAGCAAGTATCAACCTAGAGAGAGAAAACTGCACATAAAGGAATAAATTCGATCACTAGAAATATCTTCTTACTTGCTTAGAGTTAATTGATGAACTTAGAGAATAAAGGAAAGTAAAAATTTCGATTTTTTATATTTATGTTATAATTAATAATATGCGTTTTGTGTAATATAAGATATATTTCAGTACGGAATCGTTATTTCGGTATTTCATTAAAAAATACCAAATAGCATACCTAATACCATATTTTTTTTAAAACTTAAACCAAATTACCAAATACCATACCGAATACCAAATACCAAAATTTTCGATTTCGGTACGGTAATTTAATATTTACCAAATTATGCACATCCCTAGGCAGCTCGATGCACAAAATATCTCCCATTCGTATACGATTCGGAAAAGAACCGTATCCTAAGGATATGCTGTAGGCAACCTAGGGTACCCTGATGTGAATATCAATGATTGATTCTGTGGATTGAACTTGTGAAAACCTATAGATAACAAAAGAATAATTTTGCCGTTGATGCAAGTACTAAAAATATAATGCCTTAGCTTTATTGGAGTTTTTTTGAAAGATATTAACCAGTCTCTTCCCTCAACTTTTTGCTGTCTTGTCTTGTTATAGTCCTCATCCAATTCCAACTGATGATGCTGTTTCTCTGTTCCATCTTTTGGATGCTATATGTCATTTTCATCTTATTAATTTTCCTCTGGTTTTCCTCATCTCCAATAAAGCATGCTTTTTATTGTTACTTCTTTGTAAGCGATGATCCTTCTTTTCTTTGTTGTTTTAATAATTTTATTATGTCCATTTTCAAAAACTAAGTATCAAATAAGGTAATTAAGAGAGTTAACTAGTGAGTCGGATAAAATTAATTTTATTTTATAGCTTATAATAAGTGTGGATATAATCATACATCATCAATAAATAAAACTTAATTTTTACGTACGTGACATCTACATTTTACGTGTGGCATAAAAGGGGCCTAATAGCTTGTTTGTCCAAGCTTCACCAAAGCCAAAAACAACAACAAAAAAGTATTTAAAGTTGAAATTTTTCGTCAAACTTTTAGAAGGGGAAAAAAGTGTTTTTGAGGCAGAAGCAGTTTTGGAGAAGCGGCAAGTAAGATCGCTAAATGGAAAAAACTTGGCACAAAAAAATTGCTAACTCTTAAAATCCAAATTTAATTTACACCATATAATTAGGTATGGAATTTGAAATATGTTGACAAATATAAGTAATACTGGAAGAAAATATTAAACTTAATAGTTTACTTTCTTTGTTTATATGATGCTCTTTCTTTTTAATTATGTCCCAAAATATTCAAAACCATTCCACTTCACACAAAACAGAAGAGAAGAGGGGAGCTGATCTTTTCTCCACCACTAACCTAAACTTTGTTTTTGCTTTCTGCTCTGTGTCCGCTACCTGCTTCGGGGCCTGATTAACCTGAATTCGTACTGGAAAGTCACGCTTTGAGGAAAAAACACATTCTACCAAATGCGACTTCATTTTGAGGCTCGAATCGCGACCTTTAGTTAATGATAGAGGGGTACACTACCCCACCACAACTTTTGGTGGTAACTAACCTAACCTCAAAGAAGAGGTCACAAAAATCCTTCTATTTAATTTACCCATTCCAAAACAGACGAATGAATAGTTCTTCGCGAACCAACTTGCATTAACCTCGACTAATTTCACAGGTACCTGTTACTCCCACCAACATATAGGCACCGGGTAACTCTGTTCGCCAAAATTTGGGCAGATGGAAAGAAATCACATAGTGTTTCTGCCTCCGCTGAAAATTAAACCCGAGACTTCATGATTCTCAACCTGCTATTAGGCCACATCCTTGGGTGCGTACTTGGTTGAAAGTTGATAGGTGATAATGTAGCAAAAACAATTTTTCCAGATATATTTGAAATTTTTTACAAAGCTAAAACAACAGTGACCTCTCCAACTCGAATTAGGCCAAATAACTTTCCACCAACAGCTCGTTAACATGTAATTTCCAGAACTCACAGTTTGAATTGCAATATTTTACACCAAATAGAAAAATGCTTCTTGTGAACCTCAGAATGTGTTAACACAAATCCACTATTGCCAATAATGCCAAAATGGCATTGGATCTTCTTAGGAATTTTCGTTTGTCATCTCACCATAATGTCGTTCGAGAAATTTGCACCAAATATGACGATAAATAAACATCAACCTAGTCTGGCTTCCCTTCTTAGTACCTGTACAAGCAGTAGCATCAGTGTTGACGCGCGCCTAAGCTTTTCCAAGAATCTCAAAAAAAAAAAAATGTCAATATAAGTTTACTCTGTGCACTGTGGTAATAATACTTTTTCTAT